ATGATTCGTTATGCTTGGTCGTCCAACACTCCATCGTCAACAACACCCGCTCATGTTTCAGAATTACACCATTCAAAACCCCATTAATTATACATATGAGCCCTATATCCATTGAACACTCGCAGCGCATCGAAGGCTGTTCCAATATGAGTCCAATCCAGGAGGATGAAGTTCGGCCAATGACCTGCTAGTTTGGCACATGCCTTTGCATGCATCTCGATCCTAGGAAGATAGCGCAAAGTTAGCCGAAAATGAAGCTCACGCGGCAGGTAACACGTACGAGGCGACGCTGTTGGTTCGTTGCGCTTCGGACCGGGCCGGCGTAAACCGCGAAGGATCTCCCTGAACAATAGTCCGTTACCGGGTTACACGACTCAATGGTTGTTTACTAACCGTTTCCGTGAGGTAGTGGTTCAAAAGATACATTTTATCATGCTAGGCGAGATTCCTCCGTGAGTGTTCCGGAAGACCTCAAAAATGAGGCACTTACCAAGTCATCATTGGTAGCCTTGGTTTGACAAGTATGCAGTGTGATTGAGTCGATATTCTCTGGCTGGGTTACCTGTACCTATAGACCAACGTATTTTGAGGATCCAGAACAAAGGATGGGGTTTCTAAACTTACGTTATCGAGCAATGGCATAAAAAACGGAACGTCTTCGTTCTCGTCTAGTTGACCCTGAACGAAAACGACCACCCTGTTGTTGGAATCAATCATGTGCTTCAGTGTGGGCCAAGAGTTCCGATGGATAGATTTAGATGATGGAACGTAGATCATTTCCTGCAATCCCGAATCGAAGAATGCAGGCTTCCATAGCTTCTCCAGGCTCGAATTATCCGAGTTGGTGAAGATCAAGGTGAGAACTATGCAAATTGGTCCAGTGTGTCAGTAACTTGGTGGCAGGGAATAAGCGTTTCTGACCTTCATTGGGATGTGTGTCTAGCCAATTTTTTATCTCCTTTAAGTGATCAAGGAGCAATCCGCCGGAGAATGAATCCTAGGGAAAGTTGCAAATACAACGTCCATTAGTAGTGGGTCCCAAGTCGGGTCTCCATGTTTATGACATACCTCTTCAGAACATCCGTTGGTGCATAGTTCCAGTTGTTGGTTTCGGTTATGGACTTCTCCTTGAAGGAGCCTAACTCCAGCATTTAATCTGAGAATCGATTAGTATACTTGTCCATAATGTAAGAGTAGACTTCTTACTGATCTGCTACTCCTACGTTTTGGTGCGCGGCATCTACCAAACCGGGAGAGTGCTAAATACTGAAGAAGTAGAAAATATGTCTAAACCAAGCTTACTAGAAGCTCCATCCCTTGAGATGGCAAAGAAGTTATGGGCTGACGTGTCAGGGAAGTCAGCAAGTAGAAACAAGGAGCAAGTATTGAGATAAGTTATCCTACCTCCGATAAATGTAACCTGAAAAGGCGTTGACGTAGATAGATCATTAGTTGAGCCGTCAAAATCCTTGTAAGGGTAGCTTACACTTCCGTAACGCCGATCACAATTGGCGGAGGATCCGTTGCAAGCTGAATAAGGCAATCCTGTTGTTACTGGAAGAGCTGTAGTCACAGGCGACGCGCTTAACCCCACTGGTATCTCGAGGTTTATACCTGCATGACCACGATTTTCAGATTTCCCTTGTTCGATTAATTGCAGTGGAATAGCGGCGGCTTGGACGTTGATGAATGCTCGAGGAAAGACGGCTAGAATTGCAGAAAGCCCAATTGAAAGGTGGCGCATCTTGTGTGAGCAGGGAGAATATTAGCCAATGACACTTGTCAAGTCCGCACTACCTCAGACACGTCAGGTATGGTGCACGAATTCTGCAATGCGAGAGACCTGCGCTGGTATCGCAATCGATCAGAGTGATTCGCGGCTATTTAAGTGCGGGAGGAGTGTCGGTTAAACGACTCACTGAGTAGCAGTAATCCCGAATGCTTGTCTTGACAGGAGCGGCATGTTGATGAGTGCGTCTCGAACTAACTTATCTAGGGATGAGAACTCACCTGAGGGAACCCTTGATCAATGGTTCCATAGAATAGTTTCACAAAAATCCGAGTCTCGTTCGTGCGAAGACGGTATGCCTTCGCACTTGCATGTATTAGTTCGCTGAAGTTTCGGGGTGACTATCGGCAGACCACGTTTCACGTGGTTTCTTCCGACAGGAGGGAGCGCAGATCCTTGTGCCTATCTGCAGTTGAATAATCACACGCTCACGACCACCACAACCACGTCGATGACACTTTGCAACACTCGTCATTAAATGGTCTGGAAGTAACATAGGAGAAGTCTGGAAGATAGGCGACTGCTCTTGATTGTATGGTGTTGCTGAGGGTCGAGTTAAGTCCACTAGGTCAAGTCCATTCTGATGGGATCAACAAGTTGACAAAGATGGGTCAGTTCTCCGAACAAAAATACAAGTCGCGTTAGTACAACATGGAGTGTGCTATCCCTTCGCCAATGATCTCTCCAGCTAACTGGGTGATAAGGGTGAACTAAGGTTATATCCGTTCATGCCCCCTAGTGAAGCAATGTTGGATGATGAATTGGTACGGAAGCTACTCTTGTCTTGCATAGAGTCTGGACAGACGCATCGTTGGGCGTAAGCATATACCTGAAAGCATTATTATGATTAAGCACACTCACCGTTATTTGACTTATATTCCATTTTGGTGGCTTGAGGTAGGTTCAAGGCTTTCCGGATACCTTCTTCTATCCTAGCCTTCGCTTCCACATCCTTGTCATCCTTGTTCCAGACACTCAGGATGTCTTCGTTACCACGCACGCTCAGCACACAACCGCAGATACCATCCTCCTCCTCAAATTGGTCCCCAATTACGCCCAAAATTAGGTCCTCCCATAATCTGTCAGCAAGCCCCTTTCTCAGGCGAATAATCCATTTGCCTCCATTCTCGTTCAAAGGATCCTCCCATACTGGTCGCTTCACGAGAGAATGGAAAAGGAGATAATCAGTGGTTGGCTGAAGTGAAGATGGAGGGTTGAGGTGGGTATGTAAACACCAAAATGATTCAACCTAGAAGTTGAGACAGTGGTGTTGTAAGCCTGACTTCATGACATTATAAAGAGAAAGACTGGGAGTTAATACTTACCGAACTAAAGGCCGCAACCTTTTTTATTCCCTCCTCATAGTTAGCTGTTTTGCCGGGTGCCCTTTGCTGCCTGAACCAAAATACCCAGGTACATCTTAATGGAGTAGGTCCAGTCATTTTTGGACCAACTGGGCCCGCAGTTCCGGTTCCACCTCCGCTTGCGGCAGATGCACCTGTTCCACCCCCGTTCGACGGGCTAGTAGATTTATCCTTCTGATTATCCCCAGTATTATTGATACCGTTACTACTATTTGCGTTTGATACCGATAGTGAGAAGTGCTTAGAGGTGGATCGTAGAGATGAAGATGACTGTTGCGCACGAGGTCGTTGTACCGTCGCGGTGGTTGTTGTTGCAGGTGAATTGGACGTGTCGGATGAAATGGAGTGCTGTGAGTGATTAGAGAAGTAAGACATGAGATAAATTGCGCGAAAGAGGAAAACAACAACTATTGAAACAGGTGCAAGGAAAATGTGGGGTGGGATGACTGGGGGAACTGGGAACTTAGGATTTCGACTAACGTTTGATTGTTTGGACAAGCTTGTCAGTAGATCAATGTTCAAATATTTAAGGTCGTCATTCTGGAACCCTTTCATTCCTGATCCGTCCATCACGTCATTATTGCTATGGGGCATTTGATCACCGTTGCAACGTAGGTGGCCTTCGTTCTCCAATTTCAACTTACTTATCGGAGCTTTCTGTAGCTGGTAGGCAACTGAACGCGACGAATACATTCAGTCATTGACTTCGCTCATGACATAGTTCCTTAAATCAATGGGCACTAGACTTTCAAGTCAGGATAGTCCAAATATCTCAATAAAATTTCATTAATCTCTGGACCCTAGGGAAACTATGAACGTATCATCGCCAGCATTCGCATAGCCAAGGAAAGGGGAGCTACACTTCGGGTGGGCCCGGAGTTGGAGATTCCGTGAGATACGATCTCTCTTCCGCTAGATCAGTCAATCTCTGATACGAGAACTCTACAGTGGATATGGGTGCCTTGATCATTTTTTGGAGGGTGAGAGGGTTGCTGGCCTCTCTACAGATCGAGCTAATTGCATAGATAGGCGATATTGTCCTCCATTCATGGGAGATCCTGGGTCAAATTTTGGAAAACGAAATCGTACAGAATATTGTTTGCGATGTGGGCATGTGAGTTCGCCATGATATAAACGGATGAGCGGTCGATGACGCCAATACCTAGGCCAATTGTCCACAAGAATGTAATCTACAATTGCCGCGTTATTCTTCATAATGGCAAGATCCTCCTTATCAGACCTAAGATGTGGATGGCCAACGATGGGAACTATCGTGAACTTCGATATTTTACCCCTTGGGCTAAACATCGGAAAACCGAGGACCACTATCTTCCCCGGATGATTCAAGCAATCACGGGACAGGTGATCCAGAAATTGGCTTTCCAATCAGCAAAGCCTAACATCCGCTTTACTAGATCAAAGTTCCGTTTGGTGATGCCGTTATCAGCACCATTGACACTTGCATTGGAGTTGAGCTCTGTGAGGAGCTATTCACCCCAGCCAGGTGACTTCTATCCATACCTGAATTGGTGCAACCTATTTTGACCATTTTACTAGTCCGCACATCTTGATGGGTCTCGATGGTGTTGAAATCTTCACGAACTCTAGTGGAAGTCACCATGAACTCCGCAAGCTTTACACTAGGATCGAACTGATTAAGGAGGCCACGCAAAAGGTGAATAGGCGTAGATTGTTTGAGTCATCTGATATCATACTGAACACCTCTTCAGCTAGGCGGAGTTTACCTTTATGCCAATCAGCAGGGCTGCGATGGAGATCGACTCTACT